CCCCCCCAAAAGACAGGTTTTTCTCCCCGCCTGGCTCTCCAGCCGCTAATTCCCTCCATTTTCCTGCCTCCCATGACGCCATCCCCTCGGCTGAATCATGTCGCTCCGGGTTCTAATTGAGCCGCGAGACACAACAGGGCAGGGATTTATGGGCCGTATTTCACGCGTGGGTGCCGCCGGCACTGCCCCCTCCTCGGGGGTCTGGTGGCACCCAAGGGGGCCTGGATGGTCGTTCCCGGGGGCTGGCAGTGCCCCGTGGTGCCAACACGGGTGGGGGAAGCCCCGCCGAGGGGGAGGTGGGAGGTGGGATGTGGGGAGCACCCAAGGGGTGGGGACACAGGCAGGGGGGTGGGGGGCCTTGGGTGCTCTCTCTGGAGGTGCTGGGGGTGACGGTTCTGCTCTGCATCCGCAGTGTCCTGCTGTCTGGCTGCCACCCTGGGGACACCAGCTGTCACCGGGATGTCACCCACCCCGGGGCCACGGGGGGATGCGGGGGGAGTGTGACTGTCCTTCCTTCCCCTGCCTGTCACCGGCCCTGCCGGTGCAGGGGGATCCTCCCGAGACCCCCAAAACATTCCCCCCCCCTCATCACCGGCCCCTCGGGGGGCTCCGGTGGGATGTGGGGGCGGAGGGAGGCATCTGGCCCCGTCCCCATCCCGTGCTCATCCCGTCCCCATCCCATCCCACCCCATCCCCGTCTCTGGGGTCTCCGCGGGGCCGGTCCCCCCCCGCCGCCGCCTCATTAAGATGCAGCGCGGGCGGCGACTGCGCCAGAGCCGGAACCGGGACGGGGAGGGGAGCGGGAATGGGGCCGGTGGGGCAACAGGACCCCCCCTTCCCGATAACCCCCGCCCCGAGACCCCCCAGCCCTGGCAGCCCCCCTCCGGCAGCCCCGCAGGGTGGGGGGCACCCCCGGCAGCCCCCGCACCCCGGGGACCCCCCAGCCAGGCACACGCACATAACCCTGGCACACGCGTGTGTGTCCCCCCCCACCTTGAAGCCCCCAACACCCCTCCCGTACCCCCACTCCCACTCCCAGCCCCCCCATCACCTTCCCACGCCCCAAATTCATATCAGTCCTCACCCTGTCCCATTCGCGCCTCAGTTTCCCCAACCCCACCCGAATCCAGCCCCCCCTTAAAAAGTGAGGGACCCCCCCGTGCCCCCCCCCACCCCCCGAGCCCCCGTCACGCCGAGGCGGCTTCACCGATCCCACCATCAATCGCAAGGTCAAAGCCATTACGGGGACATTAAACCCATCAGCGACCGCGGGGGGGGACACCGAGAAGGGGGGGGGAAATGAGGGGGGGTCCCTCCGACTACCCCTGCTCGGCGCACAGAAAGTTGGGTTTTAATTTGAGCCGTTCAGGTCAAACGGCAGCAAATGGAGCCGCGGCTGAAACCGGGAATAAAACAATAACATGGGAAAACGAGGGGGAAAAAGGCAAAGGAGAAGGGAAGGGGGTGTGTGTGTGTATGTGTGTGTGTGAAAGACGGGAGGAGAGGGGGGTGCGGGGAGCTGGAGGGGTGCGGGGGGGCTGCAGGAGGGGCTTTGGGGTCTGAGGGGTTCAGGGGGGATGAGGGGATTGGGGGGTTGAGGGGTTGGGGAGCATGGGGGGCTCGGGAGGAATGAGGGGACTGGGGGGATGGGGGATTTGGGGACAGGAGGGACAGACACGTGAACACACACACACAAACGTACACACACAAACGTGTACACACACGTGAACGCACACGAACACACGTGAACACACATGTGAACGCACACACAGACTCACACACATGAACACATGTGAACACACCCATTCGCACGCGTGCACACACACTCACACACATGAACACACACATGAACACACATGTACACCCCCCCTTATTCCCCCTCTCTTTCCCGCCAGGGGGCGCAGGCGGCTTCGCCCCGCCCCCGGCCCCGCCCCCTGCCCGCTCTGTGTCCTCCCTGCCAGCAGGGGGCGCTGCAGCGGCATCCGTGGCCTCCCTACGTCACTTCCTGCCGCGCCTGCGCACGGGGAAACGCCGCGACCTGCCCGGCGAAGCCCGGTGAGGGGAGAGACCGGGAGGGAACGGGAGGGAACGGGGGGGACGGGAGGGACGGGGAGGGCTGGGGGAGACAGGGAGAGGCTGGGGCGGGAAGGGAGTCATGGGGATGGGACAGGGAGGATTGGAGGGGATAGAGCCCTTGAGGGGGGACAGACCCCGGGCGGGGCTGCAAGGGGGATCCGGAGCTCTTCTGGACGGGAGGCAAATAGAGCCCCCCCACACTGTGGGTGGGGACAGGGCCGGCCTCCCCTCCCCAAAAGGAGCCGGCTGGGGCAGCCCCTCACCCGCTGAGATTTGGGGGATCCTGTGTTTGGGGGGTCGTTCCTTCCCCGATCCCCACGTCCCCTGCCAGGGCTGGGGGTCCCCAGGCCGTGCCCCCCAAGGCCCAGCAGGTGACCTGAGCAGCCCCAGTCTCTGACTTTGCCCAGGACCCTCCTGGCTGGAGGGTGACCAGGGTCTGCTCGGGAGCTCCTGTCCTCCCCCCTCCACGGGGAGTGACACCCCCAGGACTTGCAACGGAGCAACTCCCGAATCCCTGTCCCCAAACAGCTCCCCACGGTGCTGGGAGCTGTCACTTGGGTGACAGTGACACTTCTCCTCCCCCCCTCACTGTGTGTGCCCTGTGTGACCCCCTGGCCCGAGGTCACCCCTGGGGCCAGACCCCCGATTCCTGTGTCCCCTCCAGCCTCACGTGTGTCCCTTCCAGCCGTGTCCCACGTGTGTCCATCCCTCCAGCCGTGCCCCACACGTGCCCCCCGTGCCCTCGCCATGTTCACCTGTGCAAAGTTCGTCTCAGCTCCCGCGCTCGTGAGTAGTGACAGCCCCTCCCCCTCCTTCGGGGGGGGGGGCTGGGTGATGTGTGACCCCTTTGCTGGGTGATGTGTGACCTCCCCCCCTCCTGGGGACACAGGGAGGTTTTTGGGGACAATCTGTGCAGGTTTGAGCCCTGGCAGGTGAGCAATGCCCAGGGTCTTGGCCACTTGGGTGACAGGTCCTTTGCCACCCCTTGAGGTCACTGAGGGGGACACGGTGCTGGCAGTGACATGCCCAGGCTGGGCCCTGGCAGCTGAGGGGGGTTCGGGTGGTCCCCTGAAGTGGTGGGTGCCAGGACACCTCTCCCCCCCATCTGGGTGCTGCCAAGGGGCTGAGCATGTTCAGGAGGTACCAGAAGTGGCAGCGGTGGTCTCGGTGTGGGGGAGACCCCCCGGGTGTTTTTAGTGCCCTGGGGGGTGCAGGGTGGGTGTCCCCCCCCAAAACCTGAGGAGTGTGTGTGCCCTGCAGGTGAGGAGGAGCTCGAGGGTGCTGGGCCAACCCCTCTCATCTGCGGTGCTGAGCAGCCCCGAGGCCCGGCCAGAGCAGGTAACACACCTGGGCTGGGGGGCACGGGGGTGGCTGGGGGTGCTCGGTGCCCTGGGAAAGCACAGGGAGGTGGCTGTGCCCCCCACCCTCTCTGGGGTACATGGGGAGGGTCTGGGGGTGCTCAGTGCCCTGGGAAAGCACAGGGAGGTGGCTGTGCCCCCCACCCTCTCTGGGGTACATGGGGAGGGTCTGGGGGTGCTCAGTGCCCTGGGAAGGGCACAGGGGAGTGACTATGACTCCCTCCCACTCTGGGGCTCCCCGGGGGGAAACCGAGGCCCGAGAGGGGGCTGGGGTGAGGCTAAGCTCACCCTGTCCCCCCTCCCACCCCTAGGCACAGGTGGGAGCCCCCCGGACGCTCCGGACGAGCGCTGCCCACCGGGACATCGACACGGCCGCCAAGTTCATCGGGGCCGGCGCTGCCACCGTGGGTGTGGCCGGGTCCGGCGCCGGCATCGGCACCGTGTTCGGGAGCCTCATCATCGGCTACGCCAGGTCAGGGGGCTCCGGGGGGGTATGGGAGGGTGGGGGGGCGGCCGGGGGGTCCTGGTGCCCCCCTGACCTCCCCCTGCTCCTCCCCTCCCTGCAGGAACCCCTCGCTCAAGCAGCAGCTCTTCTCCTATGCTATCCTGGGCTTCGCCCTCTCCGAGGCCATGGGGCTCTTCTGCCTCATGGTGGCCTTCCTCATCCTCTTCGCCATGTGACAGGATGGGAGGTGGCAGCGGTGACGGTGACGTCCCTCTGTGCCTGGCCTCCCGCCCAGCTGAGAGTGTCAGGGGGCAGGGGGGGGACCCAGCCCTGCCACGGCCGGGCAGGGAATAAAGACGGTTTGATGACGGTCTCTCAGCTCCTCGTGTCTCCTTGCTGTCCCTGTCCTGTGTCACTTGGTGCAGCTGGCACTGGGCTGGCTTTGTCCCCCCAGGTGCCTGGGGCTGAGCCCCAGTGCAACCCGGAGCCCTCAGGGGACAGGGAACATCACTGCTCTCCCGGGCTGTCACCTCTGTCCATCCCTGCAGGGACATCCCACCTGAGGGGACACCTCAACCGGGACTGTGTGTCTGGCAGCCTGGGGCCAGGAGAAGGGTTTGGGGTGTCCCTGGGTATCCCAGGGGCCGTTCCTGACCGTGTGCGGGATTTGGGGTGTCCCTGCGAGCCGTTACCGGACGTGTCTGGGGTTCGAGGTGTCCCTGGGAGCCGTTACCGGACGTGTCCAGGTTTTGGGGTGTCCTGGGGAGCCGTTACTGGCCGTGTCTGCGGTTTGGGGTGTCCCCGTGTGCTGGGGGGCCGGTCCCGGCCGTGTCCGGGTTTTGGAGTGTCCCAGGGGGCCGGTCCCAGCCGTGTCAGGGCTCGGGGTGTCCCGGGGGTCGCGGTGTCCCTCGGTGTCCCCCGGTCCCCACGTGTCGCGATCCCCGCAGCACGGCGGGACTTTCTGGGCGGGTCCTCTCATTGACCACGCCCACTGAGCATGACAGTCTCCGCCCCTCCGCTGCGAGGCCCCGCCCCCGAGGCCTCCCATTGGCCGCGGCGCCGTTACCTCCCCGCAGGTCTCGCGAGAGCCTCGCGCGCGGGGCGGGGCGCTGGGGGGGGCGCGGCGGGGGGGGGCGGCGCGAGCCCCAGCGCGAGCGGCGCCAGCGCGAGGCCCCGGCCCCGGCTCCTTCAGGTAACGGCGGCACCGGGGGCGGCGGCGGCGGGGCCGCTCCGGGGCGGCGGCGGTGGCGGCGGTGGCGGGGGGAGCCCCGGGGATCCCGGGGGGCGGTGGGACCCCCGGCCGGCCCCTCCCCCCCACAACTCTCCCCGAGTTTTCGTGCGGCAGCGGCTCCGCCCGCCCCGCCCCCCTGCGCTGACTGACAGCGTGCCCCGGCCAATCGGATCGCGCGCAGCTCCCGAGCGGCGGGCTCGGCAGCCAATGGCGGTCAAGCCCAGCCCCCCGGGGCGGGGCCGAGGAGCAGCGAGGGGCCCGGGCGGGGCCGGGGGGAGCGCGGGGGGCCCCGGCGGGGACCCCGGAATTGGCGGTCTGGGGGGGGTCTGGGGGTGTCAGCGGCATTGGGGGTGTCTGGAGGGGGCTCAGGGCTGGGGGCCTCGGCAGGAGAACCGCGGAATTGGGAGGCTAGGGGGGCTTTTGGGGGGCTTGGGGGGGGAATGTCTCAGGGTTTGTGGGGGTCCCTGGGGAATATGAGGGGTTGCGAATAGGGGTAACGAGGGAGGGGTTGCAAATGTGAGGGGGCTTTAAAGAGAGAGAGGTCTTGGGGATTGTGGGAGTGAGCCCTGGAGAGGCACTGGGGGGTCTTGAAGGTCTGGGAGGGGATGGGGGCGCTTTGGAAGCTGAGAGGGAATGGGGGGGATGTCTTTGGATATGGGAGACCCTTCAGTGTGCAGGGCCTGGGGGGCCCTGGAGAGACATGGGATGTCCTTGGGGGTGGGAGATACAGGACCTTGGGGGGTTGGAGGAGCCTTGGGGGGGGTCCTGGGGGAGCCCCTCGGGTTGGACTCGGTCCTCCGGGGTGAGGAGGGGTCTGGGCGCAGTGTGGTGGCCCGTGACTCCTCTGGGGCAGCTGGGGGGGGCATCCAGAGCCATGTGGGGGGGGCTCAGTGTGGGAAGCAGGTGTGGAAGGGATGTGGAGGGGTTGGAGGTATCCATAAGGATTGGGGTGAGGTGGGGGGCTCTCAGGTCCTGGGGGGTCGGTGACTCCCTCCCAGTGAGTGAAGGAAGCAGCAGAAACATGCAAACAGCAGCAACTGGAGAGTTTCAGTAATTTTCTTCTGAAGTCAGAGCCAGGGGTTAATTCCCCCTGGGGGGCTTTGGGGGCTCTGACTCCCGTGAGCTGGTGGAACTGGGGAGGATTCTCCTGCCCCTGCTCACCTGGCACTGTGGGATCTGTCGCCTCTCAGCAGCTCCAGCTCGGAGCTGTCACTTCCCACTGCTGGGAGCGCTGGTTTGGAGCCCCTCAGGAAGGGATGGGCTGGCTCAGGTGTGAGACAAGCCCTGTGAGACCCCACAAACTCCTTGTTCTGCTCAGCTCGCCCCCTTTTGCTCTTTCTGCCCCTTCCTTTGTCACCTCTTTCCTGAGTCCCTCGTTGTCCCTGTGGAGGTGTCACCCCTTTCCCTGCTCAGGTCCCTCTAAGGATGCTCTGGTTCAACTTAAAAGTGTCACCAACTGCAGTGAACTTTCCATTCCACTGTACCTGTTGGGCAGGGATTTTCTTCCCCCAGGGATGGTCCAGAGGGCTCCTCTAGTTCTCCCTAAAACACCAGGGAGGAATCCACAGCCATTCCAACTAAGAATAACTCCAGTGTTTAAATGCGGAGGAGAAGGTGTGGGAGGTGGGTTGAGCAGCCAAATTCCCGTTTGGAAAACGAGGAGGGTTGACATCCTCATTTCCTTAAAGCCAGAGCTCACATTCAACCTCCTGTGGCAGGAGGGGGGGAGTCCTGCTGCCAACTCCAAATGCTCCACGGGGCTGAAGTGATGGAGGGCTCGGGAGACCCACCAGCAGGTGGGGGGTGAACTCAACCCGCCAGGTTGGTAACGAAGGGCTTCTCTCAGCAGAGGGTTTTATTCCTGATGCTGGAAGTTGGTTGGGAATTGAGGAGCTGGGAGACCACACAGCCCTGGATTTCTGTAGTTGGGTGCCAGCCCTTGGTGATCTCGGGCTGTGGGACACCGGACCCTTCCCCTGCTCCCTGGCACTTGCCTGGCGAGGAACTGTCCACAGGGATCGTGTCCACCCTCCTCCTGCTCCGCCAAGCTGCGCGTCCAGATAGTTTAATCTCTCCTTGGAAATCAATCCCTCCAGCTGTTATCCATGTTTTCCTGAATCCCTTCCAATTTGCCAATATCCTTCTGACACCGAACAGCTCGGAGCTGGACGTGGTTTGCATCAGAGCACTGGAGACTGGGATCTTCCTCCCTCCCCTCGGATGAGGAGAAGGAAGAGCTGAACACAAACTTCGGGAATGTGTTAAACCCCCCTCTCGCAATTCCTCTTTCACTCTGACTTGGCTCTGCCCTGGGGAGGGCTGTTTCTGACAGGAATTTCTACTTATTCTTCCTCGTATTTCTGCTTTCCCAAGGTTCCTTGTTTTCCAGTCTTTCCCAGGGCTCCTTTAGTGCTCTGGTTTGGTTTATTCGCTGTGAGCTGAAGGTGTGAGGTGAACAGGCCTTGCTGAGCCCACCTTGGCAGGTGCAGGTTCCTCTCTGAGCTGGTTGACTGTGGCAGTTCTGAGTCCCTGTGGAAGCACTCTGCAATCCCTGTGGAAGCACTCTGCAATCCCTGTGGAAGCACTCTGCCATCCCTGTGGCACAGTTGGGATCCCCGTGACATGGCTGGGAGGTGTGGAGGGAGATGGCCAAAATAAAAGGACGTGGCTTCAAAAAAATCCCAACTTCTCAGTCACGTCTTTATTCCCATCTCTTCCAAAACCCCTCAGAGCCCTGCCAGAGAAGACACTGGGTGAGGACACTCTCAGGATGGATAAAAGGGGGTTTGGGGATGTGGCATGAGGCGGGCAGGGAATCTCCCTCTCCCGTTTTGGGAGATGGGGAAGTTGGAGAGAGGAAGCACAAGCGGGTGGGCGGGGGGTGGCTGGGAGGCTTTGGGGTTGGACCCACATGACCTTTAAGGTTCCTTCCAACCCAGACCCTTCTAAGAAAGCAAATGCTCCTTCCATGCTCCTGGAAGCCCCGGGAGCTGCTCTCAGCTCACGGCGGTTCCAGGGATGAGGCAGCCGGAGGAACAGGAGCTGTGCTGAGGGGGGACAGTGGGGACACGTGGAGCTGTGTTTGGAAGGGCTCAGCACAACAGGCTCTGCACCCACAGTGTGGTTTGTGTGTTAGCAAAACATCTCTGGCTTGGATTTGGCTTTGGACTCGTTTTCTGCTGCATTACATGTGGTGCTGCTGCGTGTCTGTTTGGGTTTATTTATCCTCTGGACTTTCTTGGGGACTTTTTTTTTCCTTCTTGTTTTTTGTTTGTTTGTTTGTTTGTTTTCACGTTCCTGGCACTGAGAATTGAGGCCAGATTTCCAAAACTGCTCTTCCCCTGCTCATTCAACTCCGAACTGTGCTGCAGTCAGAGAGGAAATGCTGGGAGAAAATAACCTTTTTGTGACAGACCTTCAGGACTGGGGACCTGTTGCTTCCTGTAATTCATTAATTATTTTTGCCCCATTTCAAGCGATCTGGTTTCACAGTTTTGGCTCCAGGGGACTGGGAGCACCATGGGTGAGTGGGGTGGGCTGAGCCAGCGGCCTGGGTTTTCCTGGGGAGCCAGAAGTGGTTCCTGTTTGGGCTTGAGGTGTGTGGGAATCTGCTTAGAGAGACTAAACCAAAAGCAGGTTTACAGCTCTGCTTCCCTTTGGGTATCAAATGGATTTGGTCAGCGCTCAGAGCACAGCTTTTCTCTGGCTGGTGGATTCCTGCTTGAAATCCTCAGTGAATCTCTTGGTTCCACTCAGTTCTTCATATTCTTCAGTTCTTCACATTCTTCAGTTCTTCACATTCTTCAGTTCTTCAAATGGCTTTCCCCAGATCCAAAAAGTTCCAGCTTAACCCACGTGCAGCTGGAGTTTGAGCCTGGCCCAGCTTTGCCTGTGGCCTCAGCTCCCAGATGAGCTGTAGGACATGCCTTGGAGAGCACCAACATTCCCAGTGCTCCCACTGCCCATTCCCACTGTCCAGCCGTGGAGGTGCCCACAGAGGTTCCTCTCCAAGCCACTCGATGTTCGTGCTGGGGTTTTTCTCCCTCTCCAGAGCTGGTATTTGTGGTGTGTTTTGCTGCAATTAGTCTTGGCTCGTGGGGAGTTTGGCTTAATTTCTTCTCTGAAGTTCAGTTTCCTGCTCGGAATTCCAGGAGGCTCCTTTGCTCTTCCCCCCTCCTGTACACCTGGGGCAGAGTCAGTCCTCCTGTGCCTTTGTGGAGTGGGACCCTTGGGTTTGGAACAGCAGGAATTTGGGGCTCTCCTCAGCCCCAGCACAGAGAGGCTTCACCCTGGCTAAGCCCAGATTTATTGTGGGGGTTTTTTTGTCTCTCCCTCTGAGCTCTGAGCTGGGAGGAGGGAGGTGAATTCCCTGAGCCCCAAGTGTCCTGTTTGCTGCAGGAGGTGAGCAGGGACCCCAGGACAGGTGCAGAGTGGAGCTCCCAAGAGAGAGCAGCCGTTTCTTGAGGTTTTCCACCCGAAGCAGTGCGTGTGGCTCCCAGGGAGCAGCGCAGGGACTGGGAACGGCGCTGCCGCTCCCACTGCAGGAGCGAGCTGGCCCCGGAGAGTCTGGAATGCCACTGGCTGTCCCACCCTGTGTGAGGGATCTCAGCAGTGCTGGAGCCACTGTGCCAGCCGAGGGGAGCTGGTTCATGGACAAACAAAGCCGCCCTGCCAGCTGCTGCCCACGCCGGGGTTTCTCCACGGAGCTCTGAGCTCCCTTTGTGGGCAAGGCTGCCAAAAAGCCCTAAAAGCAGCGAGTATTCAGACTTTTTCCTCCCCTTCTCCCAAAAAAAAGACATTTGAGCTCCTTCAGTGTGAGATGCAAGTTGTGGCTGGAGTCCAGAGCAGAGTGAAGCTTGGAGTGAGGGGGTCTGCGAGGTCCCTTCCATCCCAAACCGCTCCGTGGTTCGGAGTTCGCCCCTTCCCTGCCTTTGGGACGCCCGTGGTGCTGCAGGGAGCAG